CTGAACCGCCACGCTCGGAACCCGGCGCGCCTGCCTGAGATCTGCCCGTCGCCTCGGACCAGGGGGGTTCCGGCGAAAGGCCGGCTCTGCTTGGCCGCCCCCCGCCCCGTGGCTCCTCTCGACTTTCCGGGGGCTTGTGGCTCCACTCGTCTCGTAGGCTTTCCTGCATCCTCTGGTAGTGCTCCGGGGACCGCCTGTCTTCTTGCCACTTTCTGGCTGGCACACCGCCGGCATGGTGAAATGTGGGTTTGGGTTCCTCTTCATCGCCGTGACCACTCTGGAACCTTAAGGGGGTGTTGTGTTTGCACTCTTTCTAAATCTTGGAGCAACTTCGCTTCATTTATTTTCTCTGGCACCCTGTGGCACATTTCGCTCCTGTTCCATGTTGAAATTTCTCTATGGAGCCTTCTGACTAGGACCACTGATGAAAGGCGATAGTGATTTTTTTTGTTGCTACCTCAGAAAGAGATGGTGGTTTCTTGCCAAAACTTATCTGTTCCACTCCCGTGCCACCATTGTTAGTTATGCTTAAAATACACTTCCTTCCCCCCCCTTCTGTTTTTCTCTCCTCTGACTTAGATGTGCAGAGCTGTGTGTCATAAGTCCGTTGCTGGCCTTTCTGGGTGCCAAGAAGTGGCATGATTCTGTGTGGACCCAATGGGAGAGCTACGGGCCTAATGGTCCATCTGAGTGTTCCACATTGTGAAATGCTGTCGCATCTTGCCTGTGTGCGGATGATGGCTCTTAAGATACATCCGACTGGTACTGGAGAACCATCAGTTGTGGTCATAGGGTGATCCCCCCCCCATTCCACTGTGATTTCTGGCCAATGTTTTTTGGTGGTTTTTTACAGCGTTATCTGAGCCTGGCCACAGCGGGTCCAAAACTTAAATGTGACAGTTAGAAAATACAAGTTGTACATCCCTGAAAAATGGTCAGCTCTTTTAAACAGTTGAGGTTTGAAGTGTGTGCGCGCACACGCACTATACTTACGCAAGCAATACTGGGTCAGTTTTGTGCATACTAAAACCAAGCCTGGGAAAAGAGAACGCAGAATAACAAGGTGCAAGCATAATAAAAGCTTCCTGAGATGTCAAGTCTACTGATGCTTCGGTCTGCTGTTGAGGATTTGTAGCAGGCAGTTGCTGTGTGGTTTTCACAGAAGGTAGTTTGGTTTGTTAGAAAGATCGGCTATAATTTTGGCTGGTGAATGACTTCCAGGCCACGTCATTAGACAGTAAGCAACAGATGTCACTGTAGTAGATTAAAACTCTCTCTGGTATTAATTTGAGTGTACTGGGTGAGAGTGCAAGTGTTATGTCCCGAACAGATTAAATCCGGTCGGAGAATTGTGTTCTGTTCCCCCCCTCCCACACACACAGAAAACTTGGCGTATTTGACACTTGTAAAAGCAAATTCACACCCGTCATATCATGCAAATCTGGGTAATAAATCCTACCCTGGGTTGAAAATGAACTTCTACCAGCATGCTTTCTTTCCATATACAGTTAAGTTGATTTGCTAAACTTCCACTGAAGTGAAGTAGGCTGCTTGTCTATTAATCACAATAAGGAGCCAGCATAATAATGCAGATGAAGGAAGACCCCTTCAAGCGGTGCAATTTGTATTAGGCCTGATTTTAAAGAACAGTGGCAAAGAAAAGGTGACACAAATTTATGGAACATTGCAAAAAAAAATGGGAAAGCCCAGACCAGTTGACAACGAGCCATGTTCCATAAATTGTCATGTCACTCCCAGGAATCTAGGTAGCACAATGTGAGTGTTTTGCAAAACTGGCATGGCTAAATCAGTATTCCTTATTTTGTGTGGCTTCTCTCAGGGCTTTATCTGTACCACAGGTAGTTAAGGAAGGTCCCCCCCCCCACCAATAACATGCTCTCATTCGGAAGGTCTTCTTTCCTGTTTGCAGGTGTCCACCAGGATTCGCAGGTGGCGGTTCATATTACTAAGAGGATTCTTATTTCAAAGCACCAGTTTGGTGTAGTGGTTAAGTGCGAGGACTCTAATCTGGGAGAACTAGGTTCGATTCCCCACTCCTGCACTTGCACCTGCTGATGTGACCTTGGGAAAGCCATAATTCTGGCACAGCTGTCCTTGAAAAAGAGCAGTTTCTGTCAGAGCTCTCTCAGCCCCACCTACCTCACAGGGTTTCTATTGTGGGGAGGGGAAGAGAAAGAAAGTTGCGTCTGCTCTGAGACTCCCTTGGGTAGTGAAGGGCGGGATATAAATCCAATCTCTTCTTCTTCTTCTACCACTGACGCATAACAACCCATTATTTTTTAAAAAAATTGGTCTGGCAAACTTAATATATATCAGTATTTCAGTCTCTCAGTCTTTGGAGAGGATAAAAGATCAACTTTTTTTTTTAAAAAAGGCCGATTCCTACTTCCGTCCAGGTCATTCATGCACATGTGGATAAAGGATACAGAGTGTTCTGCATTCTGCACTCATGAATGAAACATTTTGCTCCTGTCCCCCATTCTGCTTTACCAGCTTATACAGAGAAATCAAGGAAGAGGCTGCCAATTACAGGTGTCCTCCAGCAAGTCTTGAGCAGCTGCCTCTAAAGATCAGTATGTTTGTTTACAGCCTCTCAGCATACTTAAGCCATTCTTTCATACTTAGGGTGACTAAAATGGTCACTGGGGTAAAATACTTCTCTCCTTTTTTGGTGCATTCTTACGAACAAGTTCATCTGTGTCAGGCGTGGTGAGGACAGAACTGGTACTTTGCAGTGAAGAGCCAAACTGTATAATGCAGTTTTAACAAGTTGGGTCCATCCGGGCAACCCAGGTTCAGTTTCCCTGCAGTCATACACAGCAGCTGTGGGGAATGCCATTTTTAAAGGCTGCAGGGCCCTATTTGGCTCAGGATCGTAGCATGTGGGGATGGGTCTCCTGCCTCCCTCCTGCACTGTTTTCCTGAGCTGAAACACCCGGGGGGATTATTTGACCTGTTTTGAAGCTTTGATGCAAAGAAGGCCCCCAGAGGCCATTTCAGCTCAGAAAAATGGAATTGTGTAATTTGGTCCTAAAACATCTCTTCTTGGATCTGATCAAAGGTTCATCTAGTTCAGCACATGTGGTCTTGGACAGTGTCCTGACAGCAGCTGAAGAGGTCACGATGACTGTGGACAGTCCATATTACTACTCCACAGCACCTGGTAGTGATATGCTGCTCATGAAGATTTCACAGTTTTAGCTACCATCACTAATAGCCATTGACAGGCCTTCCGTAAATATTCTGCCTAAGCTAATGGGAGTCTATGCCTTGTGATGATGAACTATGGATGAACTACGCAAATTATGCATTGTGTGAGGTTCTAATTCTGTTCCCCGTGAGCTGCATTGTGCCAGTCAGTTTCATTGGAAGAGTGTGCTGTTTTGAAAGAAGGTATATTCTGTAGGTTGGATCCAACCAGTGTTTTTGCTAGTGAAAAAAGGAAGGAGGCCTCTTCATTGACCACCCATCTTGAGAAATGTAGGATCCACATGTACAAAAACCATGTCAGATGGAGGCGATAGTATGTAGGGGAACTTTGTGAAACGGAGTGGAAAAGGTTGGCTGGACCCAACCGTGTGGGTTCATGTTTCTGTACATTTATATCCTATCACAATTATGCCAACTTCTCTTATATTTTCAGTCCATTCTTTTTTGGTGAGTATTGTGTGTGTGTGTGTGCGCCTAGAAGTCATGGTTGAATTCTGGCAACCCCTAGTGGGGCTTGGACATTCCAAAGAGGTGGCTTGATACTGCCTGCCTCTGCATCCTGGCCCTGGTATTCCTTGGAGGTCGCCCTTCCGAGTACTTGCCAGGGTCGGCCCTGCTTAGCTTCTGAGATCTGATGAGATCGGGCTTGCCTGGGCTATCCAGGTCAGGACTGTTTTCAGTCCTTTCTTAATAATTTCTGCAATTGAATTTGCATTCTGAGTATTTTGTGCGTGTGCCCATGAACTCGCTGCTTGGATTGGAACTTGAGGAAGTTTCGTTCTCTTCGTTATGTATAAATCATTCTAATTCTTTTATCGAAATAGATGCCCTTAAAAGTAACTGGTGTCTGGGTTAAGGCAGATCACATGCTTGCATGTCACTTGATGATTTATCTCTCAGACTTGCAGCTGGTTGTTTGGGCTTCATCTACTGAAGAACTGCCGTGTTCAGGGGCACTATGACAGGATGAAAGTGGGGTCTGTAATTGCCGTTTCAGGGATAGAAGTTATTACTAGAGTTGCAGGTGGTGAATGAAATTTTTACCCTAGAATCCTTTGGAGAATCATTTTACATTCACAGCTCCCTGCTTGCCTATTCCTAAACATTTATTTTTTTTTGCTCATGCTCCGCTCACAGGAGTTTTTATCTTGTGTTAGCACACAAGACCCCCACCTGTTTCGATTCACAATAACTGATGGACAGCTGGTAGAGCCAGGGTTTCACTAGTTTAGACCTTTGAAGTGAAAACGTGTTGGGGACCAGTATAGAACGGTAAGATTTTG